TACTTAAAATTATTTAAAAATCGATTAAACGAAAATAATGGCGTTGTAGATAATAAAGTGTCGATTGTTCTATAATTTCGAGTCTGGTATCATTGAATATAATATTCAATGTTTATGCAATGCTTACTTTGTAAAGAATGTATGGTGAGAAATATACCGATTGTTAAGATTAATAAAAACAGTGGGGATTGTTTTACAAAGTTTCGGAGTTATAATTTCGGGGCCCGAAGATGTGGTTAAAAATCAGGATTTACGAGCAGTAAGAGCAGGCCCTCGGGCTCCTTCCTGGCGGACCGTAAGGCCCAATGTATCACAGGTAAACAGGATCTCAGAAATCGAAAGAAGTGGCTTCTCGAATGAAACAGGTAGACGGAGGTGGGTCGTCGTCGGTCCCCGCAGCACGAACCCAAACTCCTCAGGCGCTACCAATCATCGTAACAAGATTATTTTTTTTTGCGGAAACACGTGTTCAATGTCAATCAGAGATGTAGAGAAAATTTATTACTGAACTATCTGATAAAAATTTGATAAAAATATAAGAAACGAGTTTTTTAATGACATTTTATATTTGATGAATTCTTTCAATTTTTATATTAATGGGAGGATTAGAGATAATAAAATTAAGTATTTTAATTACTTTCTATAGTAATTAAATCCTTCAATTTATAGACGTATCCTGACATTTTAAAATCCTCATCGAATCGCGACGTAAGGAAATTAACTGCAATTCTGAGAATTGCTTCTACATCTTTGTATCGGGGACCTCCCACAGCGTTACGTCTCTGCAATTCGTCGGCTAATCACATCAATTTCAGACATAGACACATTACCATTCATTGTATCTAAAATGATAATCAGATACATTTATCGCGATAGTTTTTACAATTACAAAAATAAACGTAAGATCAGGCAATTTAATTGCATGTACTTACAAATATCATCATCCATACTTGTTTTCGTTGAAGTCCACATTCACTGAATGTACAATCTATTACACATGCATCAAAACATTGTAAATCTCACTGCACTTTGTATAACATATCACTTGCTCTTACTAAAACGATGCATATGTTAGTTTTTGTAACATCAACTAATTACTCTGTTCGATAAATACAATATGATCCTCTAATTTACATAGTGTTAATAAAATTGAGATAAATAACATGATTAACGAATTAAACATAAAAGTAAAACAGTTGTTGTATCAGGTTCAACTCTTGTTGATAAATTTCATTTCGTAATGGGATTTTATAGAACTGTCATTTCTCATTTAAGTATTCTCCGGTTTTTAATAACTGTAAATTGCCAACGAAATATAAAGTAACGACGGTCGGGGATCTCGTAGAACCTTAATGAGAATGTTTCGTAATTCACGCGAGTACATTATTCCATTACGCATTAATTGGATTTCAATGAATAACACTTCATGATTTCGTTGAAAAGGAACAACCTCAGTCCATGCAGTCTGTCGCAGCACTGCGATGTATTGGGGAAGCTTGCCTCGTAGGCGATCTTCTTTCCAGAAGTCAGCGCCGACGCATCGAATATCAAAATTTGTTCGAATGCAACGAAAAATAATGTCAATATCGCTTGTTTCCGATAAAAATGACAGGAGTCATTTGTATAGAATACAATCGAGTAACTGTATTGAATTTCATATACCTTATTGAAAATTGTAAACCACTGAAGATTCTCATACTACTTTTAGTAACTGATTAATTAACCGTCATAGAGATTACATGGGAAAAAATTATAATGCTTCCGTAAGCCATTTCGTGCGATAATTTAGTACTGTAAACAACCAATTAGTCAAGTCTTCTACTATCACATCTCGTTTAGGAAAATAAAAATTAACTACAATACTTTATACAACTTTGTATCATCGTATCCGACATTTTGTCATAAATTTATGATGGTATGTTTCTTAATTGTAATGGATTTTCAGCTATGCAGCTCTTATCTAACATTTACATAAGCTTCGTTCAAAGAGACTTTCTTCCTTTTTGGATCATCGATAAACTGTAAGGAAACGCTTTCCTTGTGTACGAGGACAAAATGTTACCAAATGGTCAAGAAATATGCGATTAAAACGTTCAGTCTCAAGGTTTACACGCATCCACCGCCCTTCCATCGCGAAATGTACTTACCAGAAATACCGCACGTGTTCTAAAAATACCGTCATGTGCAAATTATAGGAGGGAATATGAACAAAGAGTAATGCCTGTTAATGGGTGTACGGTAAGAAAGAACGCGCGTAATAAACACTGAGCCAAATTAAATTGCATACACCGCGTCTCATTTTGATCTATAAAAGCTTGCATACCAAAAACAATTGAAAACATAGATTCAAGTCATTAAAAATATATAAAAAAAAAGCAAAGATCAACAGGTAAGGGTTCAAGGAACTTTCAAGGACACAAGTTCTCCAAATGAAATTTTTTACTTCGATTCACGTTGAATTCAATATACTTCGGGTGATAAATAAATTTACGAATAAGAATGGACCACACTGTATGTACGTAATATTAAAGTTCTCAATGTTCGTGATTCAAAAGCAACTTTTACAGCTTCATTAATCAACGTCCATAAGAAATCACTAATTGGAAACGTCTGTTAAAGGAGTCTTTAAGTTACACGTACAGAAATAGAGTTTTGTGAGTACTTCAAAGGAGGCTCTTCAGGTCGATACTTTAAAGTTTCACAATATGATAAGGCACATTCGGTTGCTTTGCTTCACCTTGAACCGTCGATCGAAACGCGATTGAAATTCACGCAATGTGAAAGAAAGGAAAATCGAATAGAATAAAACGAGAACGTAATACTCCTCTGTTTACATGATCACACCGCATGATTTTTCATTCCTAACAAACCCTGTTACAATTTAGTGTTGTGAAACGTAAATGATCACGCCCAATCGTACGACAATAATAACTTTTTTTCGTAGATATTACGTATCTCCCCAGTTTACAAGACAAGGTAAAACGTTGTGTGAAACGTGATCACGCTGATCACTTCTATTTATAATTACGTAAATGACATGTGGCGTCAGTGTCGAGCGTGCTTCTTTAACGAGTGAATGAAATTCTATTATACGATTGGGACTTCGTTGTGTCTAATAAGATCTCACCGTGAATAATCAGTGTCCGTTGAGTACGTTGTATTTTTATTCAAATTTCTAATATTTTTCACTTTTACGAAAACACTTTCTTGTTCGTTTTTATAAATTACAAATAAAACTTACATTTAATGCTGGAGATTTGCTCCTCGACGCTCTCACCTTGCCATGGATTTTCCTCGAATTGTATAATCCAACGTATCTTTCGCGGTTGCATCTGAAACGAACAGACACGTCCACGCATCACTTTTTAATTGTGAAAATATCCCTTCGAAACGATTCATTGATCGAACAGCAGCGAACTGCACATGACTAGTAGTTCACGATAAACTTAATGACGATATATTGGTATCGTTGTACGATTATTTTTTATGGATAGAACGTTTACAGATAATACCAGTTGGAATGCGTTTCCTCGACTATAATCGTAACCTTTAGTGCGCGTAGTATTCTATACAACTTATTCCTTTTCTGAAAAACACTTCAATGTAGATGTATGATTCTCAAAAAACTAATTACAGTTCGTTATATTAATTTACATAAGAAAAAGAACTTAATCAAAACGGTGTAATTCATTAGAATAGCTACTAAATGTTAAATGATGAACGATACTTAAATCGAATTATAATTCATTTTTCATTCGGTACAAATAATATTAACTTATACGAACTAGTTGACAATATGTTGTACCTCACATAGCGAACAGGTAGGTACTTGGTAATTACGACCGACGCAAAATTTCCTGATAGTTTTTCAATGTTTATCAGCGAATAGATAAAGCTGGTGCTACAGATACAATCTTAGTCGATTGTGATCGTGATAATGAATTACCATAATGTCCAGATGAATCGGTTGACAATCGAACAACTATGTGCGAAGAACTACCTCCAATTGTCCGACGGAACATTAGAAAAGTGTTTGTACAAACGATGTGTTCATAGATCGGCGACTGTATACGTTGTTGCGGGCAATACCCGTTCCACACTGACAATGATTTGTCTGTCAACGGAAGTGACACCCTGTGCCTGCGACTATCTGCCGGTCCGTTGCATCTATCACGCGCGCTTGATCGTCGAGTTCGCCAAGAAGAATTGTCAGAGGTTCTACACCCACGGGATCTGTCACTTACATACATGGACAATCAGTGCTCCCGTCGACGAGATATTCCGACACGAGTACAGACCGCTCGTAAATTCGTCTCAGTTATTAATTGAAGTACACCATTCATCGTTCTCAATCGCCTGAATATGCGTAACACACAGACGCTGGAGTCAAAGTTTGATGGTACATAGTGTAAAATACACTGACTCGAAAATTTGATATATAAATATTGCAAATTTTTAAAGAGTTCACCTCAATTGTTAATTGAAATGCGCTAGTTATTGTATTCGATCACCAGGATGCGCATAGTTAATGAATATTGGCATTAAACATAATTATATCCTACAATTTCATTAGAATGTCGTAATTACGCATCAACTATTAGTTAAAATGTATCATTTATCGTATTTAATCTTTCAACAGAGTTGAAGTTAAAATTGATGAAACGTATTATTAAGTACATTCGACATCAAAAGTGCATACGAACATTGTAAGTTTATACGAATTTTAATTAATGTACAGTATTCATCGCGATCGATATTAGTATATTTAATCATATATAAAAATAAAAATATCAAAACAAAAAGGTCTTAAGAATCAAAGTCTACAGGTACTCGATGGGCAAAAAGCATATTTTAATACAATTTGATATCCTTACGTTACATTTACATTATATTTACTACAGTTAATTTTTTAGCTACAACTTTTTAAATTTAAATTTGCGCAAATCGATTTGTACATTCGATCAAGTCAATGTAATAATTACGCATGCGCTGGAAGAAGATCCAGAATGAACAGACTGAACATGACCCACGAGGTAAAAAAGTTAAAGATAAACGTAAAACATAACCTTTACGAGGTCGCCTAAATATTAAGCCGGAAACATGTATTTAATGTATTATTTAAATGAAACTGGAGATCGAGTGTATACTCTAAAGGTATTAAATAAACATGGTTTAGTAAAAATGATAGATTATTCATTATTGATACAAGGAAATTATTTCGTGCAGTATATTAAATATATTTCAGGTTTACGTACTTAATATTTATCTGAAGGAAATTAATTAAAATTAATAATGTATATTCTGTCCTTTAAGATATTTTCGTTTATTCATTTATGTTTAATTATTTTCACAGAAAGTTGACCCAAATGGAAAACCCACGTTATCAGCACATCCAGGTAAGTAATTTAATTTAATTTTGTTCAGCACAGCAACTGCTTAATATTGAAAATGATTTCAGCTCGATTTTCTCCAGAAGATAAATATTCAAGAGAAAGAATAACATTAAAGAGGAGATTTGATCTATTACTCACACAACAACCATTACCTACTTATTGACACTTATTTGTTATTTGTAATTAATCGTACCTGTATCACATAAGAATGAAATTAAATTTTGTGGTATAAAATAGATATTCATCTATTTTTCTTTTTACTTTGAACTTGTTGATAATCTTGCTTTTCTGATAATTTAAATATAAACTCGCCAACAAATTATTTTCCACGCATCAGATTAATCACTTAAATATAATAAAAAAGTCACTGTTAACTTACATGCATGATAAATTAACTATTCATTAGATTTATTATAAATACCTTTTTATTCAAAATTCAGTATATCTTAACATGTACATATAAAAAATAAAAGTTATATTTCAATTTATTATACAGTATCTAATGACTTCAAATAGAATACAATTTTAATGGGAAAACATATCAACAGGGTTACATAAAACCATCTTCGTTATACTGCTTTAAACATTATATGATAGATGACATAAAATTTTATAAACCATTAGGTACTTTAAAATTATTATAAACTAAAAAACTTGTACCATTATTTGATCATTCTTGTATCCCTTGATATATCTCTATACTGATTAGAAATGATATTTAGAATGTACTCTTTTAATTAAATATACATACTGTATTGTATTAAGATGATGAATAACAATCTAGGTCCACTATTTGATACATTTATGTACATGCTTTGTACATATATTGTGACATATGTATACATGTACTTCTTATTCTTTTATCGTTTAAAAGTAACATTCAACATTTTATATGCAACATAACTTTAACCAAATATTAATAATCGTAATTATGTATTAACTAATAAATAATATAGAAACAAAAACATTAGTATTGTATTGTTCTAAATTGCAGTTAATAGGTATTCGTTACAAATATCATGACAATTTATTAAAAATGCCAAATTTTGACATTTTTACAATACGGAAATGTCGAGTATTGAGTATTATAACATGTATCCTTCTTACACAGTTGAAAAAAACAATGCAATTAAGAAAAAAATCATACCCTAATTGACATGGCAACATAATGATGCTTTCTGTATGATCTATGTTTTGAATAACGAAGACTAAGAAATAAATGTAACATAGATAACATTTATCTTGTTCTTTTTACATGTACTTACATTTTACACATTCTTATTATGTTCTCACAATAATTTCATACATGCTATGAATTAATTTTAGATTCTTATTCTGTATGATGAGTATATTGTTGATAAACATTTGTACATATTTTACAGAATTGTATCCAGGGATAGAAATTTAATATTTGATCACCTTGGCTCTAAGGTGATATACTCTATTACACTATATAACATACTATAGGTAATTAGTATAAATCGTTTATAATGAATTTCACATAAAATACATTACATAAAAATAGAACATTTTGAAGATACGAAATAATTCAAAATACCTACCCTATTATATGTACATAATATCAAAATTATAAGTGCATAATTTAAAATAGAGGAAAACAAATTTTGACAACTTATCTTCACGTTAAACCAAACCAAAGTGAACATTAGATTTTATATGTGGACCATGTATAACATATATCATTAAATGAATATTGTTCAATTACAATATAAATTACATTCTTTCTCATTACACTTTTCTCAGTTATGCGTTTTCAAAATAATTACAAACGTCTTGCAATTATACATACTATTCATATATTGTCATATATTTACGTTGCTTCCAATGGCAAAACTTAAACTAATGATTACCTATTACTGGTAAAAATAAACGCGTAATGAAATTTGATTTTTAAACAAACATTGTACAAACATATAATTCAGGGCTACATATACATATATAGAAAGAGAAATTCTGAATGTCTAAAATCAAATTTCAATGAAAGGATATAAAATCATGAACAAACCATTATAATGATGATTGAAAAGTGACTAATAAATGATAATATTATTCAGCATCGAGGAAGTATGCCAATGTAGAAGGAATCTTAATTAGCATTGGTACAGTTTGCATTTGATAATGCCATGGATACATTCCTAATATCAGCATGTATGCTTTCAATTTGCTTCTGTAGGTGCTGCCGGTAAAACATGAACTTGTTGTGCTTTGCTAGCATTATAGACTTGTCCAGGACTGAACGGTTCTAATCTTGGAACGGAAGCTATTTCGCTTTTGCGAATGTCTTTAAAAAAATGAACAAAACTATGTCAATACTGATATAGGTATACGAAACAAAAAAATATCTTGTAATTTGCAAGCATTAACGGTTATAAGTATATACTGTTATAAGAACTAGATATACATTACTTTAACAGACATCAATATACTTACCACTCTTTGATTCTGATGCTGGGATATATCGCGACAATCTAACAACGGGAAGGGGTAAATAACCACTGGTTAATGGCATCACGTCCAATGTGACACTTTGTTTTTCTAGGACTTCCAACGACACAATGCCAGCAGTACGACCACATACAGCCCACAACATGGCTTGATCGGCAAGAACTTCGTACATTAATTGAGGCGGAGGATTTGGATTGGGACTGGGCAATATACGTGTTACTGTGAGATAAAGATGGCACATGCTACCAGCACGACAAAATTCACCTCCATTTCCAGCTGGCTGAACTTTTGAGGACACTGTAAACAAAGTCTGGAAAATGATGTTATAAATAATAATTTGTCACTTGAAAGTATCTTCGTATAAAGTAGACTCTATAGATACATTTATAAAATCATTTTCATATCACATTTAATAACGTTTAAGTTATTAGTAAAAGTTAATACATTAGTTACACAAACTACTCCAGTACATAATACCAAATTTCGAAGTATTAAAGCCTTACCATATAGTCTATAATATCAAAATTGCATCTGTAAACGCTGGTTCCTTTTTCCATTCTTTGCAAATTATGTAAGTGCAATGGATCATCATTCAGTTCTTCGGCATCATTAATTGGTATATATTTAACACGAAAATCAGTCTTTATAGGCATCATAGATTTCTCATCTTTACCAATTTCAAGTTCCCACATAAACGACACGTTTACTTCGTTGCCTATTATTAATCTCTGTCCCGCAATTGGATTTAAACTTTGAAAATTAATGTCTATAGATGTTACTGTTGTTAATTCTGGATCAGTCAACTGTAAAAGTTGTTTTGTTAATCCTGTTACAACTATTTGAAGAAATTTTCTTCGGTTTGCTGTGTGAAGTTTCATAGTTGACATAAGAGGTGGTCCGAAATGTAATGGTATGCTTTCTTCGGCACCCCATGGACACTGTATGTTCAACTAAAAGGCGTTACCAGTATTTTAGACAAATTTATATTTACACATTATGAAAGCTATATAAAAAGAAATACCTTATGTTCCATCGATAAGGTATCTTTCTTTGGTGGTAGTTCGGCTAGAACTTTTAACTGCAACCGCATTGTTTGGAATGGTTCACAAACTGGCAGTGATATCTCTAGTTCTTTACACATTACTTCTTCTGATTCGACAACTTGTATTACTAATCCTCTAGATGTACGTAACTTAAATTTCATGTCTTTTATTATTTTTATGCTGCCACTCGTTACAATTAGTTCTATGTTTTGAATAAGGCCCGCCAATAAATCTCTGCCGCATTTCAAGGTAATTCTTGGTTGAGTTTTAGCCACTTCATAACATAACTGAGGATTTAAAACAGTCGACAGAAACTCTAATTTTTCCTCAACAACTAACGACAGTTGACCAACTTTGTAAAATCCAGGCTGATCAACACATCGGACCAATGTAAACGTATTCATGCCTGGTTTCATTATAAACTCGTCACACGATAACGCTTTACTAAAATCACCTTTTGCATTTACAGATGGTTTCCTATGTTTTGTACTATCAGAACGTCTTACGACAGGCTTAGTATTTCTATGTACGACACTAGCTGATCCAAGACTCTTATCTTCTTTATAATCTAAATACGAATACACTTCTAATTGAAGTAATCTTGGATCAAATGGTTGCATATCCTCAAGTGTACATTTTGATAACCTGAAAGAAATAATTCATTAATTAACCAATAGCAATACAAAGATTACAGTTCCTTCTTTTACTATACTTAGTTAAGTATCTATAATATAACAGTTATTACGTACAGTGGGATTGAAGGTTCGACAGATGTCTTTGACCCCTTCTTTTTAGTCAATGCCTGAGGTTTCTGAATTTCTTCAACAGATATGGACGCCTTAGTGCATCTCACTTCTCTCGGAAATAAACTTTGTATACTGATCTCGATATTAACCACGCAGTCTTGCACCACTTTGTCCATTACTTTAACTTCCATACTGAGTATTACAAAAGCACATCCGAGTTCTATAAGTAATGGTTGCGGAGATGAAATCATTTTCATGTAGCCAAGCATTTCTTCGAAATACGTGTTACGCACTGTAACGTGCAATACATTCAAGCTGGCAATTGCTGCGCTAACTTTTGTGTATTTCTCAACGTCATCCATCCTTTTGTAGCATTGTGCCAATTCTAACTGAGTATGCGCTGCTAAATGTCTCCAACCTTCATCGGTATAAGTTTTCAAGGCATCTAACAAAAATGCTACGGCTTTCGGATTCTCCCCAAGTTCACTGTAAAATTGTGCTAATTCTTTTCCTATTAACCTTGCTGATCGAATGCGACCTACATGTTTGTAAGTACCCATAGCTAATTCTGCATGTTCGAGGTACTGTTTTTTGAATGCTTCCTTTGAGGAAAGTGCTTCTTTCAATTTATCAGTTGGTGTTAACTTTCCTTCTATCTGTGGTTCAGAATCACCCATACCAGCTATAAGGTAAACAACTGTGTGTAACTGCTCACTAGAGGGTTCATTTCCAGGCATTAAACCACATAATTTTCCTAGATCTCCCAACTAAAACAAATTAGAGTAATACTTAATCATTACTTTTATTTGTCGGCAATTTACTTTTGATTTGTTCAACTTCTTACTTTATCTCTGGCAAGAGCCCATAAACTGGCTGTGTGAAGAGAGCATAGATCTAATTGCTCATTATTATCAATATTGTAGGATGATAATTGACAAGCTTGCAGTACCTCCAGTGCACAGAGGAAGGACCAACATTCGATAGATCCTTCGGGTCGTTGAACTTCTAAGATACGTAATTCACTTAACGTGTTATGTACAAATGATAAGCATCTTTGTGCAACCTATATTAAAATGTACATAAATATTTATTAAATGATGTCGAAAGTTTCACACTCGCTTAAAGTATATGAAATAAAATTGCAGACAAAATTTATACCTACCTCCCATGGTTTATTGAGCGCTAATAACATGGCACATTGTCTACTGAATAAATAACTTCTAAGATCTAACAATGATGCTTTACACTCAGCCAAAAGGTATCTTAGATGATGATTTGTACCATTACTTAAATTAACACCTCCCCAATTATTTAAAGGAGTTTGAAACAAATTTAACCAATTTGGAGTGTCTATAAAAATTTTGGTAACTTATTATTCTAAACTTTTAAGGCCACAATGAAAACGAAAAGGAATAAAATTACCATACCTCCTAGATTAAAATCAAGCACAAATTGTGTAAAAAGAGCATCTAATTCATCATATTGCACTAATGCTTCATCATGTAAGCCTAACATTTGTAAAACAAATGCAAGTTCTTCCTAAAAAGGTAACCTCTGATTAAAAACTGTACATTTATATAATAATGTAGATAGATGTATGTTTATTATTTTACCTGCAATAAAAAAAAGTGACAGAAATTCCAGGTTGGATGATTCCTGTTTTCTTTTTGTTCTCTAATGACATCTTCAAATCGAGACAACGTTTTGTCATATGCCATAAGCATTAACTGACGCATACGATTAACTAAACCTCTCCACGATTCGGCTGAACGCATCTCTGATTTTACAGAGTTTATTACAGAAAAACATCTATTTAACACACAAGATATACAATAGAGAAACATTTTATGGAACCTTATACATTAAACATTCATACATTAATTATTGTCTTTATCACCTGTCCCCATTCTTAGAAGCAAAATCACTGCGAATTTTGTCTAGAACAGTTGTTCTAGGTAACAGTTTATTTGTTTTCTTTATATCATAAGTTTCTACTAAAACAATCATCCAATCTTGAATATGATACTGTAATAACGTTTTCAACCAACTATCTATGTCATCTTTGATACTGGCTTTATAAGTATCTACATCCTGAAATGTGATTTTTAATGCAATTGTATTAATTAGTATTTATGTTTATTATATTACATTAAAATACTTACTGAACATTCACTCCAATAAATGTGAAATATAGGTTGTTTTATCAGATGCCAATCTTTCTCAGCTGGAAGAACATCCTTAGAAAATGGCACAAAATTTGCCCCAAGTCTGACCTGTTTAATTGGTCGACTGAATGACCTACGCCATTCAACCATGTCTGCAGGTATGGCTTGCAACAAACCATTTTCCACCGTAGAGAATAATTTTTCATCTCCTGCAACTATATTGAAAGAATCAACATAACATTATGATATAAAATAACCAGATGTTATATTGTATTCTTCACAAAATTTAGTTGTGGTCTTGGTTTCATACTCAAATTGATAATTAAAGCTCTACTATAGGGTAAAAAAGTTAAAGTAAACGAAGGCTTTATTTTCTTTGTTAAGATAAACTTTATCAACTAAAAATTTGTAAATGGTAAATTTATTAGACTAAACGTAAAATTAAAAACTATGTATGTAATATTACATTAGAGTTTCTATTTTATTCCATTGTTCAAACTTACACACGTTATGAATGTGTATAATCTGCAGTCTACTTTCGAATAAAAAAAATTAACCTATTTGAAATAACATATGTTTATTCAGAATTGTGCTAATCATTAAGGAGATCATAATTTTGACAGGATTCGTTATCATGCGCTGTCACATGCGAAATGTGCAAAATCGTGTTTTGATTAAACTGTAAAGAAAAAAGAATTCGTATAAAGATTGACAGTTAGTCGAGAGCGTCAATAATTATGCTCGACGATGTCATTTAAGAAAAGAGGTTAAATAAATTCAAATTTCGATCAATGAACTTACATGTGATAATTGGCTTAGAATCCATAAAGACGTTTGTCTTACGTTCATTACCCATCGACAACCCCCCATTGCAATTCATTTCTAAAGATTGGCAATTGCTTCGCGAACCTGCTTTCAATCATTACAACTTTACGTCACTTTTACCAGGTTATATTAAAATTACTTCTTAGCTAATTTTGATAGAAGATATTTACTACTCCGTCGTTTCTCTATTAAACGAAAATTAGGACTTTCATTCGTCACGAGTTAAACAGAATACAACGAAATCTGACAGATTAAACATTTTACTTCAAACGTTCGGATATATTTGGACATATCACATTGAGGTTGGAATTAGAATCTTCGTTTAACATGCGTGGAACATCGATTCGTCAACCTCGATATCTCGTATCATTAAAGTATTGCACATTGCATCTTGCGTTGTTGCAACCTTCTGTTCACTTCTGTTCGCAAAACAAAACTGAATGAAACGTTACCGCTTCCTCGCACGTTCGCAGAATTTTGAAACGAAAAGATACCTACTTAATATAAATATTATGTGGTTACAATTTATTAACAGTTTCTGTAAAATAAGAACTGTGCTTTAAGACATATTTAGTAAGGAGTATGAAATGGATTTACATTGTACCTATTTATCAAAAATATGTTTAAATGTAATGTATGTATGTATATACTATGCAAAAAGATTTTTATCAGTTATTTGTATATTTATATGAAGGTTAACAATTTGACTTTATAATATCTTATTTATAAATTGATATTGCAAAAAGTCTCTCTTAATTTAAAACTTGTCAAAAATATGAATTATATGTTCATCCTAAACCTTTCAGATTTCTTCTGAAATATCGTACAATTTATAATTTAAGGGACTTATATAACAAGGTAAAAACAAATGTTGAAGAAAGTTATTAACAAAGTCCCAGGTAACATACCACCTCCTCCAAAAAAAGAAAACCAAGGATATATAGAGGACTTGGGAAAGAAACAGAAATTCGAGTTAGAAGAATTATTAGAAAGACAAAATAAAATTCTTGCTAATAAGTAGGTACTTGAAGTAGACAGTGTATTATTAGAAAAGTTGTTCTTAAAGCATTTTCTTTTAATGTTTTTTTTTAGTGCATTCACATTGAAGCTTCCAGACAAAGGAGAAAGAATTAAAGCATTTCGTGATAAGATACTCAAAGAAATAAAGTGTAAGAATGAAGTTGAACAGGCAGCTAATCTTCTTTCAAGGCTAAATCTAGCATCTGAAGGTAAAGCTGCTATGAATGAATTAGAATGGACAGGCAATTATAATGAAACAAAAGATACAGTGAAGATTGTTGAACTTGATAGTGATGATGAAGAAGATCCACTGAAAATATTAGCACAAGTTAGTTTTAATCCATCTACCACCAGAGGAAAGTTTAATTAAAGCAGAGGATTTAGCAGAAATAGAGTCTTTCAAAGTAGAGGAAAATGAAGAGGCAGAACACATTAAATACATTGTCAGTAAAGTAGAAAAACTTCCACAGGAAAAGGAAAAGAAAAGAGAACCATTTAAGCCATACAGAACGACCAAATCTAATGTACATGATCCAGAAAAAGAGAAACAAAGAAAGTCGAATAAAAATTGGGAAGTTACAGCAGCTACACCACCAAACACAGTTCATGGTGCAGTAAAAGTTATAAATTTAAATGAATCTTTAAGACTACAAAAAGACCACGCGGAAAAACTTCAGGTAGATAAAATAATGCTACGTTTTTGTACATTAAGATTAAATTTATTGAACATTATGACTTTATTTCGTAGAAAATTCAAACGAAACATGCAGCAGAGAGATTAGCAGAACAACTCGGTTTACATACTATTGGCCTACCATCTGAATATGTTAACAGTTATCGATTGCGAGATGAAAAAAACTCTAGTTCATCTTCTGAAGCAGAAGATGAAGAAGAACATGAAGTACACGATGATGAAGATAATGATAAAGGAGGCACGGTAGTTTTTACAGTAGATAGCATAGAACATTAATTTTTTAAGATACAAGCATATGTGAATATTGTGTAAATATATTTATAAATAAAATCATTTCTTTTCAAAAAATTTAGTAATCATTTCCAAAATAATGTTGAAGGATTGGTATTGAAAGAGCTAACTATTATCTTTGTATAATAAATTGAGAAATGACTAATCGATGTTACATATGAATTAAAAAATCATGCTGAAATTTTTGTACTAGACAATTAGAAATTAATAACGATTGCAATGAATTAAGATACAATAATGAATCAACATAAAATGTTTTATGGTATTTTATTATTTTTACAATTTTTATATTAATTGTATCCAAAATTATTAATAATTGTTGTGTATGGTGCTGTAGCTTTGACAACTGTCTGGCCAGCTTGTTTGGTAAGTTTCTGAAACAAAACAATATATCCAGTATAAGACTAATTATATAAAAATTTGATTCCTTTTTCTTCAATTTACCTTGAGTTTATCTCTCTTCTGGACTTCAAGAATTGATCTGACACGTCTCTTATTCTCGAGTGTGCGTACCACCGCCTTGTATTTCCATCCAACTTCATGAGACAGTCTACCTACATGACAATACTAAAGGGAAAACGATAGTATTAATACAATTTCTTTTTAACATGATTTAATTAATCATGTTTACATTTACTCAGCAGAATGTGACATCACAAAATATGAAGCAAATAATGCTCAGGCGCAAATTACCATACCATCATTGTAAACAGTTAACACATACATTATAAGTGTATGTAATAATTAATACAGAATGTTTTAAAATAATGCTTAATCTTACCTTCCTACCAGGTTTAAGACACATAACTCTCATAGCACCTGGTACAACAACACGTTTCCTATGGTCATATGGTGGAGGGCATCCTTCGTAAACCTTCAATCTTCTGAGAGCATCCTTTCCTCTCTGTGTTTTGTGTGGGATCATTCCTATAAATTATACTTCCGATTAATCTTTTAATATTCATAAAAGGGATAAACTTTAGTGGTAAACAATCTCATAAAATATTTGTTTCATTCCATTATCAAATAATGTAGGTAAGATGTAGATAATCATTGATGAATTCTAATTTCAATTTTCCTCTATTAACAATTCACATAGGGACATACCACGAACTGTCTTCCAAAGAATTTTGCTGGGAGCACGAAAATGAAATGGTCCACGAGCTGGATTTACATTACATCTTTTGCGCAAGAATGACATAAACTTCAATTTGTTCCTATAATAAAGATTTCATGTAAAATTAACTAACACTCATACTCATTCGAAGTACTTCCATAATGCTATTTATTATGTACGACAAAGGTAAATTATAAAGGTTAATGCAAATTGAAAGATATTACTTCTTACAAACCTGAAGAAGTTTCCAGATATATTAAGTTGTTCACTGCGGACAACAATTACCTTGTTGCCCTGCAGAATCGTTTTGGCAATAATTGCTGCCAAACGGCCGAGTAAATGGCCACGGCCATCGATTAATATTGGCTGAAAACATACAATTATAGAAATTAAAATATATTCTCTTATATTTATGTTTCGTACTTATTCTGCTTATTTATAACTCGTAGAATTTATTTGGTTGTGTAAGGGGACACAGATGTATTCGTATACGATACTGTCAATAGTTAATTAACACGTATCATAAGTGTAAAATTATTTTAAAAGAAAATTCACCGTTCGTCATATATATCAAATAATACATATTATTTTAATATAAAAAAACAATGGAACATGATATGATGAATACTACTTCTTTCCAAAATACAGGACACAGTTGTAGGAAAACACGTGTATACGAATGCAGAAATCGTCAACGGATACCAAAATTTTTATGAAATTAAAGTTAAGCCAGCATTTAGCATATTTACTAACATTTTCTGTATCTCCTTTTTATTGAAATAAGCATATTTTCGATATAGGAACGATCTTATGATGCTTAAAATAATAAAACCTAGGGTACATACCTTATTACTGAAGCCAGTCATTTTGTCACCCTACCGGAAAAGGGTCCATGAACGTTGAGAGATGTGCGACCTCTCACCGGAAGGCTTCCAATGTAGCCATCAGTGTAACCAACATTGCATTTTTGTTCTAAATAAAATTGTCCCAGTTATTTTTTCTCTTATGAAATTATATAATGTAACCACTGTTATTCTACATATTAATTTAACAACTTTAATTCAGAATAAAACCAATTTTCTATGCATAAGTTTACGTATAAGAATTTTCGTAAATATTCTTAAAGATTCTTTAATAGAATTGGTTTTTAAAAATTATACATTTAATGTAATTAATATTTTGTATAACAAAAGATTATATAATTTTATCATATTAATAATATTACGTATAATTATTTCATTTTTATAAAAACATATAACAAAGAGATTGCAGTATGGTACAACAAAATGGTGATCAGAGATATCGCCATCTACCGTAAAATTAACATCCTAAATTCAATTTCTAATACAGAATCAATTTTTAAAAAATAAATATGAATAATTCTTTAGGAAAATTATATTGGATTTAAAATGAAGCAGGTATATATGAAACAATTTAATAGTTTTTTTTTATTTATGACGGTGGGTTTTGATAAACTAGGTATACAACAGAGCATATTGATGTAACAACTGAAGTTTCAAACTTTACAGAAAGTCGAAACTATCGTTGTCATATTAAGTTTTGTAATTTAACAGTATTTATGTACAGAAAATTATATTAATTCTGAAGATTAAGATATGAAACATGTTAATTGTAATATAATTAATTAAATCAAAATTAATATCCGGCATTAAATTAATGTAATCCGAAATTCTACTTGATGAGTCCACATGATATGACTCCCTTATTCGAGGCATTATTAAAAAAATATTTATTATACTCCTAATTATTAATATTTATATCATTATATATTTAATTACTCTTAAGCTAATATCACAATGACTCGAGACAGTCAAGACTTCCAATATTTGTGCACATATGCTTATGTTATATTAGTTTGCCAGTTGCATAATTATTTTGAAAAATTTGTATTCTATTACATGAGTGGATTAATTTGTTATGTTATATAAATCTGAAAAATCTCTAATCTATATATGAAAAACTGCTAAAATCGCACGAGCATTGGTTCTTAATCCTCTAATGGACATACAAATTACATGTAAAAAGTTACTACTTCATACTACAGATCATGTAAAGCACGCATTTCTTTTACATGTTATGTTAAAAAGAAAATGTATTCACTTTAACGTGTGTTTGTATTTACAAATAACATTTTATTTTAAGTGTATTGTAAAAAGCGAAAACAGTGCCATTAGTAAGAAATTAATATAATTCAAATAAATCTAACTTATAATTAAATGAAAGAAACATATGTCTTTTTCTCCTTGGCATTTTTCTCAAAACAAAAAAAAGCGTGCTAGTTATGTTCTATAAATAAATAATCATATTTATAAAGGCACTGCCTCATTTAATAGAATTTACAAAATGTAGTGGATAAGTACAATTTCTTTTGTAATGTACAAACACTTGATGTAATCAATTAGTTTTAAAATATACATATACGATAAAAAGATAAATCTTTTTATGTTCGTATACAATTCAATAGATTTGCAATCAATTACGTTGTTATTAACATCTAATTAGAAAAATGTACAAATATGCAAATTTATCGAATAAATGTTATTTCCGTTAAAAAGTGTATATCTGATCAAAGCAAGTAATTCACTGTAATTTTATCAAATGCAAACAAACACTGATACAGATCATTTGTATTAACTGCATATATAATAAAGTAATGCCTTATTTTCTTTGACTACTTAAGACCTTAGCATGAAAGTAGCTTTTCATTTGTCAATTGACTTTACTCAAACCAGCAGAACGTTAAAGTTTTTAAGCTATTCTTACAGATACATTCCCTGAACGAGATACGCATTATTCACGTAATTCTAGGTACAATAACATATTGTTTTTAACAATGCAATACAAACACTAAGACGTACTATTTAGGTTTGCTGCTATCATCATATAGAAATTCAGAATTTGTAAAGAATATTTATCTATCTGTATCTTTAACCAGTATATATTAATAACAGTTTGGAACATTTTGCAAAAATAATCATTGAAACACGTAACGATTTAGCTGTTATTGCATTTTAAACAACGGGAATTACGAGTGTTCGAAATTACATGTATGTGTCTGTATATGAAGAATTAGTAACGTGACTAAATTTGAAAACGCACATGAATAATTATTCAAACAAAAAAATGCTATAAAATTTCACTGTTTCCGCTTGCTACTAACTGTAAGTCTGCCTTATATATTGTTAATTCAATAATATATTTAAACATAAAAAAATAATGTTATGGATGTGCTTCATAATAATGGAAGTACTTTTGTAGCAGTGTTTACCATGAATTGCTATGACAATCTCAAGTGTTCATACGTACAGTCTATCTAATAATCTTATGCTAAGATTCTCAGGCAAATAATATCCTGGCATACACAAATTTCGTGTAATGCTACTAATATGGATACAGTCGTGTGTTTTAAAGAACAAATATTACCAAATAACATTTAAAATTTTTACAGTATTCTTAAACGATTGTAAGAATCATTCTTTTTTTTTTTTGAAAGATCAATAATTTATACTTTTATTACTAGCATAGTAGATGCTGTTAGGGTGATTCTCGAGTCAATTCAAGAAACGCTCGTGCTTTTTCTGTCATTTTTCGTACACGTCCCCTACTACTTATACTAATGCCTGGAACATTTTCAGGTTCTGGTAAACTCTCATCACTATTTTCTGCATAAGATTGACGTTTAATTTTACGTCGGTTTCTAACCGGCATTGTATTGCTTTCGTCACTTTCTTCATTGTAACGAGGACGTTTCGTAGTTCTTCTCGTGTTTTGTGTACCATCCTGCACATGAGCGTCCCTTGCTCCGCGAACTCTTCTTAGCGATCTAGATGGCGCAAAAACCGTATCTGAATCATCGCTGTCCGAATCTTGATTACGTTGAGATTGTTCTTCTTTATCCTCCTCCTCCCCCTCCTCCTCCTCTTTGTCTTCAACATCTTCATCTTCTTCGCTTTGACTTTCGTTGTTTTTTCCATTTTTTGTGATACTATCTTCATGTTCTGATGCAGATGCTAGCTTCCGTGATCTCGTGCTACTTCTGTTAATAACTTCTTCTTCGCTTTCTTCGTCCGATGACTCGGGCGCAACAAATCGTTCATCTTTCTCGTCTTCGTCATCATCGTCGTCGTCGTCATCATCATCCACAGCAGCAGCAACAAATGCCTTCGACTTAGATTTTACTTGCTTGCTTGTCTTACTATTTTTCGTGCGATTTTTTCGAGTTTGCTTTTCACGACTATTCGGTGTATATACTTCTCCAGAATCACTGTCGGTACTAGCACTAGCTACTGTCTTTCTTCCTCGTGTCCTTCTTACTGGTACACTACCACTACTTTCACTATCTATGGAAGCATCTGATTCACTGGCTTCACTTTCACTTTCTTTTGTCTTTTTAGACACAAGAGCTCTGGAAATTCGTAGCTTCAACATACGTGAAGAATTAGTAGTTCGTTTCATATGGCCGTTTGTCATACGCGATGGTCCTAGAAAATATATAAAACATTGAAACATAAGCATATAGAAAAGTAAAAAATAAGTTCAAAATAGACACCTGGTTCGACAACATTAGAATTATTTTTCTTCGCAGGTTCCTCGACATCTTCATCATCGTCTTCACTATTTACATCGTCGTCGTCGTCGTCGTCGTCATCATCTGTACGCGTGGATTTTGATTTTGGGGGTCCTGAGTATAAAATATAATTTTTTTTAAATTTGTACTAAGAAATATTTACCCATAAACCACTTAACGCTGGTACTTCTATAAAAGCACACGTACCGGTACCATTTGATAACCGAACTCTTGATTTACCCTTCTTTCCTTTCCCTTTTGCATTTGATCTATTATTATTATTATTACGTCTTCTGGCAGATTTCCAGTTTGAAACAATTTTCCGCATATGTTCTTCAAACATGGCTGATAGTCTTATTGTCATTGAATATATCTATAACGTAGTCACATCCAGTAATAAAATATTTTTTTAAATATCTTAAACTTTCTCCTTTTTTATGCATAAAATCTAAGACTTACCCTTGATCGTTTGTTGGTATTGTAATTTCTGCTATTTGTAAATATTAATTTCATATCTTTGGCGAATTCCAAGGGAGTTTCATAGTTACCCCCTAATAAATCTTCTTTTACTGTTCGTAAATCCATTGGTGTATCGATAATCTGATGATAATCAGGATGTTCTAATCTGTCGACTGGTTCCCTGTTCAAAATTAGCAACAAGAATCGAGTATACTAATTAACCTTATGAATCGAAGATTTTTCTTCGTTTGTGATCTACCAAAGTTAACTTGTTTTACCTGAAGGGAATCGAATCTTCGCATTGCCATAGCATTTCTAACAATTGTCGGCAAGCTACCTGCCAATCGTTTGATACTTCTTGTGATCGTAAACTCCTACTTGTAGTTGCTCTCTGAGTACTGGTTGAAGGCCTGTCTTTTACATCCTCCATATCAACCTCTGAATCAGACGAATGATAAGTGTCTACCAATTGATGATAAACAGCTGGTACATCCAGTTCTGTAGTTTCTCTGTATGGCAAATAGAAAATATTTTTATTTAATTTATAATACCTTAATAAAGTACACCTGTAATACATTAACGAAATTCAAATGATGTAAAATGTTTGCAAACAAATAAACCAAATCTTACTTTATAATACGTAGACATAAGTCAGTAACTATTCTCGCTTGTTTCACTATTTGACTATGTGGTTCGTTAAATTGTTCTGCATTTGTTGCTAAATATCTAACGTCAAATTGTGCGGACGTAATCCTTCGATAGAAATGGTTATCAAAACGGGCCTTTATGGTTGACAAATCAATGGGATACTCCACAAAAAACGCGTACGCAGGGTAAGTGTTGAGATCAACAGGCGCCATAAAAGGTTCTGCAATTGCAAGGCTCATAACTTGATCTAATCCACGTATAATCCTGCGACATGTTGCTTCTCTATCTCCCATAGGCCATTCTTCTGCTTGAGGCTGATACAATATTGTTTGTATCTCTTCCGGAAGTACAGGAACGGCTCCTCCAAGTTCTGCAGGAAGTCCTGTAATCAATATTTCAAAAGCTAAAGTAAAATCATTTAAAGATAACATAAACTAAGTTCTGTTAAAACAAAGAAATCAATATTAGAATTAAATTTGTAAGAATTTTACACGTACTATTTTCGTCAATTGGTTCAAGATCCCAGGGACTCATCCTCTCATACTCGCCATTATCCCATCTGACGCGAAAGCACATGAAGAATGACTCTGGGAAATCTTCATCTAAAGGTTCCATTGACTGTATTTGGCCCATCCACCAGCCGTCATCGATCATACAACGAAACCGATCACCTTCGGACCAGCTGCGTGCTAAAGCTGTATCAAATGTCTGACGTAGGACTAAGAAATCCAATACATCAGCCATATCGTGATACTTAATGGTGAAATTTTCTCCTGTTAATCGACCATCTTCGTCCATTAACGCCAATTTTAAACAGCATAACCGAGGTGGACGAATTTCGTACTTAATACCCACTACTTTCACAAATTCTTGTGCCTATAAGAACGTTCAGTTCGGTTCAATTCAATATTCATTAAAATCATTCTTTTTTATATCATAGTAATTATTAAATAACTTTTTCGAAAGTAAGAATCTTACTCTTATATTGACTTTATTCCATGGTTCACATCGTGGACTAAGTTCGTACACTTTCTTATTTCTAACAGCATCTAAATAAAATTGATGCCCTTGTCGAAAATATACTATTTCGTCACCCATTTGTGGATAGTAAGGAGCTTTTCTTGGTATTACTTCAGTAAGCCATTCAGTTGGTCTAAAAACTTCTGGGATTTCGTCAATACCATTAGCCATTGGCACGGCCTTGAAGTAGAAAGAGATTTTCAGAAAAGAACGAGTAAAATATATTTATCTAGATGAATAACGATCGTATGCACCTTCTTCTTAGGACGTCGACTTCGTCTTCTATCTGTGTCACTTGGCGGTGTAAGAGATTGCTTTTTTACGGGTTTACGTTTACTTCTTTTAGGTGGTTCTAGATTCAAACCATGATCAGCAATCCAATCTGAATATTCAGTACTAGATTCTGATGTGGAACTGTCAGAACACAAGTCTTCTTCATGAGCCGTGGAGTCGTTGCTATTGCTACTGGCTGAACTTCCCGTAGTTCCTCCATGATCAGGATTCTGTAATATCACTTGCACTTAGAAAGACAAAGTGAACATGTTTAGATAATTTTAATTTCTTATATTCCCAAAATACCTCAAACTCTTCATCCTCGTGTTCTTCACCACGTGTGGCCCTAGTTCTATACCCATGCCTAGCAGTCCTGTTGCGTTTCCGATTGGCTAGTCGGCTACCGATGTTACCTTCAGTGTTAGCAGTACTGGACACTGGCTGTGGTCTTCTTCGCATTTCACGTCTCCAACTGTCAAGTTCCATTTCTGCCATTGCATGTCTGTGAATGTTATTGTATTGGAATTTATTTGCAATCTTGAACAATTTAACAAATCATAATTGTAACATCAGTGAATTAATTCGTAGTAAACTTTTTGAATCGTACATAGCTCTGTATTGCGTTTCCCTAACAGCTGGATTCATGGGTCGAGCAAGAATAGGTTTATTCCAGGGTGTAGTATTATCTCTTTGCCAATTACCACTACTTTGTCGTACACCTTCGACATCACCGACTCTTCTTAAACCCGATCTACTTCCTCGAGGACTAGCCATTTGACGAATTGGTTGCTCCATTATATTTTCTTCTCTATCATCACCACCACCTTCTCTCTCAACATTAATATTCTGTCTTTGTGCAAGAGCTTCAATTAATTGATCAATATTGGATCGTGGTTCTTGAGTTGGAAGACCTTCGATAACTTCCTGCATTCCTATAACATAAAATATATTTTTATTGCACACTTATTTCAAATTTGTACAAATTCAAATACGCAATAAAATAAAATCATTTCTATACCTCCAGCACCTACTGCAATATTTGGTACTAACTGCTCCCCTCTACAGTTTTCTCTTCCAGGAACTAATCTTTGCAATTCTGGTGGATAAGGATTTCCATCTACATCCACCAAAAATGGTGGAGGCATTAAATGTGGTGCTGTCTGTGTTTGTTCGTCCAAAACATAATTATTTGCATCTCGTATTAGTGGTCTATAATCCGTATGGAAAAATAATTCTTTTGGTATCTAAATAAAAAAAACACAGATTTATTAATACGTTCTGAAAAATGGAGGAACGAAGTAACTTACAAATAGAGGCTTACTATTTTAAGTTTCTCAACACCCGATCCAAATCCATATATCAAAAGATGTCCATGAGAATCTGTTGCTGCAAGCATATTTCCATCTGGGGACCATTTTGCATCAAAAACAGCACCATTACCTTGTCCTTCAATAAAATTTTGGAAACAGGCTATTGGTTCTGTCTTCAATACATCCCAAATTATAAGTTGTCCATCGTGTCCAGCACTTAATATAACACGAGGATCTATTGGATGAGATTCTAACACAAAAACTTCATCTTTGTGTCCACGAAGAACCTTCACCAGTTCGCATGTTTTTGCATTCCATACTTTGAGCGAACTATCGTTTACAGCTGTGATAACCCATTCGTCACTCACGTCCCAACTAACCATGGTTACTTTAGCCTTTTTGTTAGAATCATCTTCTGCATCTGATTCTCTAAATATAAGATATAATTATTAGTATCATAATAGAAAACCAAATATTCTGTGACTGTTTAATAAGTATGTATAATATTTCACCATACCCAGGAAGCTTTGTGGTCATCAACAGACGTTTATACATCCACTGTTGCTGTTCAAAGTGCCACACGTTTGCAGTACCATCTTTTGAACCGGAAATGAACTTTAAACCACTATGTGCCCATTGTATACTATCAACTGTATCAGAATGTGATTCAACCTCTAAAACTCTACGTGGACCTTCGTCTCCTAACATTGTATATACCCTAACATGATGATCTGCTGAAATCATTTGTGCTTGACCAGGGCGCATTTTTTCGTGGTACTGAATCGGTTTTGGCCTATTAGTAACATGGAACATTACTTTTTATTACATATATAAAAAAATGATGTAAATCATATTTTAATTATTACGGTTTTGTTAAATTCGTAATCGATAAAGAGAATACTAAATTTATGAAAACTTACTGAAACACTGCTCTCTCATTCATTTTTTTAATATGAGACCAAAACGCAACAGACCCATCTGTACTTGTTGAAACCAAATAGAACACACCATTGCAGGATATAGGACAAAAATTCACAGATGTAATCATACCAGAATGTCCAGATAAAACTGCTACCTGAAAAGGAATGACGAAGTTTTAAAATAAAACATAAATTTATAATTTAAAATAACAGTATAAGAAGTATCATTATTTGCTTACTGGGGACATTGTTTGAAAACACCAAACTCTTAATATTCTATCTAGACTGGCAGCAGCAAGTAGGCTGTTGTCAAAATTGACTGCAATATCCATAATTTCAGCTGACGCACCTCGAAAAGTAGCTAATAATCGTCCATCAATAGAACTCCATACTTTAACAAGTAAATCATCTGCACCAGTTATTATGTACTTGCCAGTGCGGTCAAAAAGAACACAATACACTGCAGATAAATGTCCTAGTGTATGTCTATACAATTGCATTCTATTATAGAACTTCGTCAGTATTGCCTCTCGTCTACTTAAAGGACCTGAATTTTCCCTTCCTTGAAGTGCACGTACTACAAAAAAAAGAAAAGATAGAAATAGTATTCATATAATGTACATGAGACTGAATGTTTCAAATCTCAGAAACTGAGTATCTAGACTACCTATGTTAGGCACTGATGAGCCATAAGATAATTCCATAAAGGGTTTTCCACCTATTCTTCCAGAATAATAAACGATGCCACGCACCCGACGTAAGACATCTAAAAAGAAACATATAATATAGTCGCAATAGTTCAATATTGCATAAATAATATATAACTTTCATCCTACCTTCGTGTGTACGTAATAAAGATTGTCTGCCTGCTCCAAGAAGAGATATTGCTCCTGGTATACAAGGAGGTACCTCCTTTTCTAATACTGGACCAATTCTTCCACATATTTGTAATAAATGGTCTGGTCCAATGTGAGGATACTTCTTTTCCTAAAATATCATCATTTATTGATATCTACATTTTTATTTATTTCATCCTATGATACAATTTGTTGCAATTACTTATGTTGGTATTAAGGCAAATAATTATGTAAATTAATTAGAAGATAGATAGTTCAAAATTCAATGGATTTATAAATTTTGTGCAATTCTGGTCTAATAAGTACATTCACACTGATAAAATATAATAAAATATCAGTGATGTAAATTCCTTAATTTTGTACATGTTTACCCATTTTAAAAAAAGCACAAATTATTTTATTATTAATTTGAAGGATCACCTAATTCGCGCCAATAATTGAATTTTAAGTAATGTAAAGTAGTCCCTACACTAGCCAATCACAGAATGACTAAACGGACACGACCAATCAGAATGGCTCACTCGATACGCATGATACGAGTTTCCATAAATAAGGCCTGAGCATGAGATATACTCATTGATCAGTCGCACAAGATGGCCGGAAGTTAGCGCTTATTGGTCAAGAGGAACGTAGTGGGGAGATCTTGTGCAACAGCACTAGAAGCACAGAGAGGAAGGAGAAGGAGAAGGGTTGAGGAGTGGGACAGAAAAGGGGTAGCACCCTAATAGGGGTACTTCATATATCGGCATTCGTCGACTATCTTACGACGCAACAAAACAAAATTTTCCGTAATGTTATTCTAAAAACCAGCCTATTTATTGTGTCATATGCTATGAGTGGGTTTCATACACCAAACACCAAACTTGCAAAAGCGAAAAATTTCTTTACTCACCAACTCCTCGAATGTTTGACTGTGCACGTGCCCTTCCCAATCTATCCTTTGCGGCAAAACCTGTGAAAAAATATAAAAAATATAAAAAAATTGATCGATTGATCGATTAATTATCGTCGAAATAAAAGCGTCAGAATTTGTCGAACATCAAGGTCGCCGACCTTGAAATTCTAATGTTTTGACAAGCAGAAACCACGTGCAAACCATGTGGAGCCGATGGATATGTATAGTGTCACCCCGGCAAAACGTCAACTCAGACCAATCATCTTACCTTAGCTCGCTCCAATTCACGCTTCAACACCTAAAATGTACATTTCTCGTTACGATACGTTCGCACAGCACGCTGTCTTCATTAGCCAGGTAACACTCACCTCAGCGGTCTCGCGACAAGGCCCCGCCGCCAAGAATTTGGCAATTAGGAAGTACAGCTCTGTAAGAAAGAACGCTGCTTAGGAACGAACCGCACGCCTCGCTTCGTTGCGGATGGTAAGGGCGCTTATCGCTCCCATTCTTTTACCTGGTGCTATTGCAGTCCCGTTCTTGGACACGCTGCCCTCCATTTCGCCTGACCGACTGTTTATTATTCACTCACAGACAAAGAGAAACATTTACTTTTTAGGGTCATAGCGCGGCAATAACCATTTCGGATTTCATTTTCTCTCTCGCGAGGTCTCGACCGCGAGACGCACACGCACGCTCACCTCCTCAACGGAAAGTAGTCCCCCCTATACCCGATTGTCGACACAACGTACCGTATTATACAGGAACGTAACTCATCTACTGAGAACCCTATTCAACATTATCCGAATTATGCTCTTACAATATAACGACATACACCGTTCATTTTCATTGACTTTAAAAGAAAATTATATTAATTAGTTAGTATTAACATCACGAACGTGTACGTCAATTGCAGTCGTTTGTATATTTCGATCATTCTGTAATATTTTAGTGTTCGGTATCTGTTTCGTGTAACGCGGTATATTTGAAGTTATAAATACAGTCACCGAAAACCGCAATTATACGAAACATAAATAAACACTCTTGATATTAAGATTATTATGAATTTAGACAGATTATAGTATAATATTTGTTGTAATTTTTCTGGACGTACGTTCGTAACTGTTATTAATCTGCGATTAGACTATAAAATTTATGCAGCTGAAGAACGTTTTCTTTAACAGAAAGACTTATAATTGTAAAATAAAAAGAGTTAAGGAATAAAAAATAATCATAATAGTTGTTAATGGAAGATTAATATTGTTTTTTTTTAAAGCAGTTGAATACTATGTTGAGTACCTATATATTTAGACTCCACATATGTTTGGATTAATCTGATTAATTTCAATTTAAAAAATTACATACTTAGTACTGGAAGAATATATTACTGTTATAATCTGTTAACAAAATATGTAGATCACAATGTTAAGTTATCAAAATAATTGTCGTAACTAAGTCATTAGATCTAGATATTACAGTATTTATTATTATTTAAGGTATTCAAATATTTGTACATGTTCATGTGGATTAGTGCATGAACACTTTTTCACAAAAGCTGAAGTTCAATATGGATGCTGAACAACTCGACTAAACTCGAAATATCGATGTGTAACGATACATAATATTTATATATTTTACATATGTACGTATGAATGATTGTGTATGTAATGTAATGCTCGTACCTGACTTTTTTAAGATTTTTGTCTTTTTGAAAACATTAAGGTGTTTAAAAAAAACTAATGTAATACATAAAACATATAAATTATATAAACAAAAATGCTATGAAACCTATCATTAAATTTTTCAATATGACGAACACGTATTCAAAATGTTGATAAGGTTACATGCCGACGTGTCGGTCGGTTAATTGTACGTTTAGTACATGAAGTTTGTTCCCATAGATATTGACGTGTCACCTAATACTAAGTAACAATATTATTGTTAAAAATTTTACACTTTTAAATTTGTGTGTAATAAAATATACTCCCAAAGGAAAGTATTGTGTATATATATATATGTACACATATAATACAGAAGTCAATAAAATAAAGAACAAACTAAAAGTCATACAAAGAATCTTTGAATATTACCCTGTGAAATTTGTACATGTAAACTGTGCTAACAATGTCATGGATAAAGGATAGCACAGTAAACTGGTTTCAACTTTTGGCTATTAAAGTTCTAAGAACCGGGCATATTCCTAAACATGTAGCATTTATAATGGATGGTAATAGACGTTATGCTACTAAAAATGGAATGGAAAAAATAGAGGGACATACAAAAGGGTATGAGTTAACATGAGATATTGTATGGATATATAATTTTTTTATTTTGCTAGAACAATAATTTGTATGTATTATATAAATTGTAAAATGTAAATTGCAGATTTGATAAATTTGCTGAAACTCTACAATGGTGTAGAGACCTTGGAATAGAAGAAGTAACATTCTATGCATTCAGTATTGAAAATTTTAAAAGAAAACAAGAAGAAGTAAATGGGCTTCTGAATCTTGCAGAACAAAAATTTCAAAGTCTAATAAATGAAAAGTACACTTAAATTTATTTACAGCCTAAATATATTTTATGAAAATGATAAAAAATGATAAACATATTTTTACTGCAGAGATAAAGCAAGAAAACATGGATTATGCGTTCGTATAATTGGTAATTTGTCACTGGTACCTCAGAATATAAAAAAATTAATAGCAGAAACCATGATTTTCACTAAGGATCATAGTAAAGTATTTCTTAACATTGCATTTGCCTACACATGTAAGTTATTTATAAGATGCATTTGATATAAAAATAATTAAAGCACATTTACATTATAATTTATCCTTTGAAATGCTTTAGCAAGAGATGAAATTACACATGCAATTAAAGATGTAATTGAAGGTGTTGAGAACGGTGATATTCACCTAGAAGACATTGATGAAAATCTAATTTCCAACTGCTTGTACACAAATGATTCACCAAATCCTGATTTATTAATTCGTACTTCTGGAGAAGTCAGATTTAGTGATTTTCTTATGTGGCAAGTAAGTCTAAAAAATTATTGTTTATACATACCTTTTCTTAAACTATTCTATTATTTCAGATATCAAATACATGTATCTACTTTACTAATATACTGTGGCCAGAATTCAATGTGTGGGACTTCCTTAATGCAATATTTTATTATCAGAGATGCTATTCTAAAATGCAAAAGATAATGAAAATACAAAATGTGAAACCTACAATACAGAATAGTAGACAATCAACGTATATAGATAAATTACATCACAAAAGACAACGTACACTCGAAAGAATATATCCTTCAAACATTTAAATATAGTGTGCTGAATATTTATACAAAAATTATTTAAAAGAAAGATTTCTTTCTAAGTTTACTTAAATTCATAAAACTACTACAATGTGTAAATATGAACATGATGAATTTTTACCACTAGTTGAATTCTTCTAAAGAAATCATGTACCATACATATTTTATGTTGTGTAAATATCTTCAAAAAAGAAATACATATACACTTGGTGAAAAGAGTACATACAAGAGTACTAATGTACATAAATTTATCCATTTATTTTATTTCATATGTTTACAAACTTCTGTATTATTTCCTATATTACATATATATATATATATATATATATTTTATAAATAAAATGATATTCTCCTAAAGTATCTGGAATATCAGATTTGTTGCAATATATTGAATGCGTGGCTTGTTTTTACTATTTCTCTATTTTTAAATTAATTCTTATACACCACGTATTTGGCAGTCTTCCTTTAAAAAATCTTTCTCATTGCAAAATACATAAAATTATAAGCTTTGAAGATTGCTAGCATGCCTTGCAACAATATGTTTATTTAGTGAATGTTACATTACATATAATATAAATATTAAGAAACACGCTAATTTTATTCTAAATCTTTTTAATTTGAAACACAAAGTGACTTTATATTTTGAGATTCATACAATCTGTGTATATATTTATTATGCTGCAAAAGCATAAAAACAAATAATGTACATATACAATATATACAACTGTATTGTTCATTTTATTACTATTATGTTATGATTTTGCACTTACAAAGAAAAGTGATTAAAATTTATTATTTGTTAATAGTAAATCTTTTACTAATAGTTAAAAGAATATTAAAATAAATAGAGGTGCCTTTACATAAATATAAAATTATAAATTTTTTACAATAAACAGAGTCTTGAATGATTTCTGTCTATATACTTCTATTAACCGCAATTAAAAGAAGGTCTGAAAATTGAAGGAAATTTTTATTCACTTAGAATTATAAGGCAAATGATGCCTAGCTGATGGTTGTCTTTGTCTTGCTAAAAAAGATTGTCCTTGAGGTTGTAAAGCTGCAAGACGCTGATCTATTGCTTCCCTATGTAGAGTCAAAGTTAAACGATAAAAGGCAGATGTCATTAATTTTTCTTCCATTTCTTTAATTAATTTAGATTCTTTCAGCGATCGTTCCATTTCTTCCATAATTTTTCGTTGTTCTAAAATTTGATTCCTTAAAACAGCAACCTCATTGGGAGATGAATTACTTTGTTTAGGATCTAAACATTTTATAACGCTTTTCGCCTTTTCTACATGTTTCTTATAACGTTCTTCAAGAGCTGTGATGTCGTATTCTTTACGCGTTAACTTTTCTTGTAAAGTGAAAACCTTTTGTTTCTGACTTTGTAATGTGCTATCTCTTTCTTCAATTTGTAGTATTAAACGTTCCTTTTCTGCTTGCACTCTTCTTAATTCATCCTGTAACTGTATTATTTTCTGCCCTAAATTGTTATCACTTTTATTGTCCCCACTGGATTGATTTCCCAATGCCTCCTCTAATCTATTTTCTAAGTCAAGTATTCTTTGATTAGCTTCACGATTTTGATCTCTAAGTTTCTTTATCCTTTCTTCCGAATCTTCTATCAATGCCTGGACGGTTGGTAATTTATCTTCATTTCCTTTTTGTTTAAGCTTCAACATTTTATTTTCATGCTGTAAACATAATAACTTTTCCTTAATTTCAAGTGGAATCATTTCTGTGTTGGCAACAGTACTGTCAGTACTATGTTTCATCATCTTCTCTGCTGCCTGTAACTGTGTACATTTTAATTCCTCATTTGTTTCTTTCAGAGCATCTCTTTCAACAATTAATCTGTCTCTTTCTCTTTGTAAAGTACTTAACTTTGCTTCCATTTTTTTTCCTTCAAATTCAAGTTTATCACATTTATTAGTTTGTTCATCTAATTTGTGATGAATTTCTGCAAGCTGTTGTTTGCAAACTTCTAAGTGACTGCGTAACATTGTAGTCCGTTTAGATTCTTCTTCATAATCTATCTTAGATTGTAAATATTCTAAGTTCTTATCTTCCAATATTTTAACTTGTCTTCTTAAATCGCACAAATCTTCCATTTTCTTCTTGTATGAATCTATTGTAAGTTCATACTTAGCTACTTTGTCTGCAGTCTCTTTTAGTGCATCTATTTCATCCTTTAAATGATTGGCCTCATCTGCTGCTTTCTGTAAATCTTCTTGCTTAGATTGTAACTCCAAAACTTCCTTTTCTAATAATTCGACCTTCACTCTATAATCGTCTCTGGAAGTCTCTACCTTAAATAATTCATCTTTAAGAGCCTCCACCTGCTTCCTAAGGCCAGAATATTTTAAAATTGAACCGGATTCCTCTGGGTTTTCAAATTCATCAAGTCTCTCCTGAAGTTTCTTGTTTTCTGTGACCAATGCTGCTTTTTCTTCTTGTAAAAGTGATAACTGTTGATCAAGTTCGTGACATCTTTGTGCCAATTGTTCCTTCATGTCTGCAGTTAGTTGAAGCTCAGTTAATAGTCTTTGCTGAGTACCATCTGCCACATCCAAAGACTCAAAATTAAGACTAGTACCCAAACTTAATCTAGGTCCATTCATATTACTTTCTAACTCTTGAATGCTCTGCATAATAGCTTGTTGAACAGTCTCTTCCATGCCCATAATTCTTGTTATGTATTGTTGTTTTTGATTACAATTGACAGCACATCCAAGAATTAATTGTAACAACCTACGCAATTCATGGTTATCACAATGTTCTCCTATTCTGGTTGCATCAGGTTTGACATAACCAGACAACTGTTGATTTAAACATTCTATGTAGTATTCCATTACAGCTTCAATTATTTTTTTAAGGTTACTGACTTTCAAACGCCAATTAGAATTAACATCGCTTTTAATTTTTGCTCTCCACACAGCAGTAAACCATTCTGGAGCAATCTGGGCTAAAGCATCTGCCAAGGCAACACCGTCACTTATATCCTCTACTGAGGAGTGAGGTGTCTGAAGATCAAATGTATCTAACCACTTAATCAAATTTTTCAACTGTTGATCGTCCATTGTCGTCTTTAATTAAAAGTTCCTTTGTCGAACAGCGTAAAATTATATACGTGTCGTATCATATACAATAACTGTTGTCAATCTTCAAGTTGTTTAAAAAATCTTAACTTAAAATCAGTTTATTCTTACTTGGATAGTTTGCAGACTGACCAATATGTTAACATTGTTACACGATTCATTAATGTTTTTCCTTATCTTAAATGGAAGTACCTTAAGTCTTATACGATAACACCGCTTTGACAGTCCTTCATTTAGAACGCATTGGAACGCATTTAGAACGGAAGTAGAGCAAATTATAGTTACTCCAAATCTCTTTCTTTTGGTTACTTTTATTGTAAACCCCACGAACTGTCTTTAGCGTTCCAAAAACAAATGTTGGCAGCAGTTGTTCGTAAATTGTTTGTTTATTGCTGCCAATCATATGACGTGGAAAAATCTATTTACGAAGAAACCTGTGCTTCAATAAATACAAAAAAAACCATAGTACACAATTATGTGAATGAATGTGCACAGCGTAGCGTATGACAGTGTCTGGCAGCGTATAGCGTAAATACGTTTTACGTGATAGTACGACATATCGTTCGAAAGAATAAAATGTTATATGAAAGAAAAGTTGTTATATCTACTATGTATAAATTATAAGAATCTACTACTAAAATATTGTGAAAAGATTTATGATAAAAGTATAAAAATTATTATTTTATTCGACATAAGATTATAATATAACAACGATTAACGTAATTATGGCAACTAATGTGAAAGATAATGTAAGAGTAATAAATAAAAAAGAAAATGGTAATCCACGCGCGATGTTTTACAAAAAGCCTATTAAAAAAGATAATTATAACCTGGATATGGATAATATTGATACTCCTCAAGAATTGAGACGTCAGCGTTTGTTACAGTTTCAGAAAAAGTATGTGTATCTTTATAGTTATTTACTGTTACATTTTATAGTCCTAATAACAGAATTTGTTAGGTGCAGAGACATTGCATTTAACATTGGACGTGGAATATTACAGGAAGCTTTCAATTCAGAAGAAGATGAATTTGAAGAGGATATGGAAATTGATGAAAGTGATAAGAAAAAGCATCATTCATTCAAACGATATAAATGTTATGCAAATCAGTTGATGATGTCGGAATGGATGTTAGATGTACCTCAAGATCTTGTGGAAAAGTGGATCATAGTCCCTTGCCCAGAAGGAAAAAGAACTTTAGTAGTTGCATGTAGAGTATGTTAAAAGATGCTTGAAGAATTTTAGAGTAAAAAAACAAATTTTTTCTTTAGTTTTATTCTTTGTATATTATTTTCTAGGGTGTAACTAAGGCCTATAATAAACGTGGTAACCGGCTTGGTAAATTTTATTCAGCACTTCCAGGTGGCAATCCTTCTGGTCACAGAGGCAGTTGCACTATTATTGATTGCATATGGATGAAGCAACAAAAGACATATTATGTTTTGGATGTACTTGCATGGTCTAATCAGTCACTTATGAACTGTGATGTAAGAGTATTTACTTTTTATAGTTAATTGACTTTACATATTCATTACTCTGATCGTGAACTATCAAGAATGTTTTATTCCAGACTGAATTTAGGTTTTTTTGGTTAAAGTCACAGTTACAAGAAATTACAGAACTACAAGAAAGAAACATGTACATCAATACATTTCCAATATTGTCTCTACCAAATATCAGTTGTAACACAGACTTAAGTTCAGAATTAGCAAACCTTCCAGATTTGCCTCCACTGGATGGCTTATTATTTTATCATCGTGATGGACAATATACTAAAGGCCGTACACCACTTGTGACATGGTTGAAACCTTTTATGTTAACTGAAGTACTTGGTACATTTCTCCCACCACCTCTTGATGAAAAACCTGACGGATATATAGACTTCAAATATTATATTCTTAGTAGTAGAGCTAAGAGGAGAAAGGAGGAAGTGGAAAGTCAAGTAAGTTTAAATTACTTTTTGAAATGACAATTTCTTATTCAAATAATTCAATTACTTCTTTTTTTATACATAGATGGACATTGCGATCGAAAATTCCTAAAAAGGAATTTCGTTTTATTGACATAAACGAGCTTCTCGTGGAAGTGAAGTATAATTAATGAATTAACAATTTCAATAAGACTATATTTATAGATATCACCACAGACGAGATATAAGAATAGACCTAACATCTTATGGGACTTGGTTCCCACGAAAATCACGCTGGTTCGAGGGCACCTCTCCATGAAAGTTTCCGATTTCAGGAACTACGTTCGACACTGTGATAATGCACAGTACACACACACCCGTGACTGAGTATAGCGATACATACATACATTATTGCCCTGGTTTCGTTAGCAAGGAATGGAATTTTTAAATGGTACGGCGGGGGCTTCTGATGCCTTCGATCTTATTCTTATATCTCGTCTGTGATATCACTTACGTGTACAGATTGACTGGTTACAATATATTTGAACTATAAGAATTATATTTGTACAGTATATACTATTTAAAAAAATTAATCTATATATAAATAAATATATGTATGTTAAAAACTGTCAGTTTTAAAAATTTTGTATCATGCAGAAATACTATGTACAGAATTAGTGTCTAATAAATACTATTTATGTAACATTATAGGATTTACACTCCTAAATTTAATGTATGGAGAATGTCAACAGCTTTTTCGTTTAAATATAATAAAACACGATTCATAGTTTCTGCGTTCATTACTTTCATCTGGAAATAACAAGAATCTTTTTTACAAATAATAGAACAATATTATGAATATATTTATTGAAATTAAAAATATAATTATTTACTTTGTTTCCCATGATTGTAAATGAAGGTAGATTAATTTTACGTAATATACATAATCCTAGCTGTAAAGAAGCAGTCTGCGATATTTGTTCATATAAAATTTCACGAAATTTTTCTATGTGCTCTAAATTAAAAGAAATTTCAATACTGACGTCATCACTTCGATCCCTCGTAATTCTGAAAGTGATAGTATGTGCAAAATAATTAATTTTTTATTATTCTATATATTATACAATAGTTTCATGTAAGATTTCTTTATTTCTCGTGTGAGTGATGATATACAGGGTGTCCCAAAAAGATGTGACAATCCGGAACATACATATTCCTCATCCAAATACTAATTGAAAAGTCCTTTATTCCAGCAATTTTGTAATCTGAAGCTCCATTTTCGAAATATTAACAGTTAAACGAACTTGACTTAGCAGTTAATGATCAGCTGAGCGGTGGGCCACACGTACACGCAGGCAGTCAAGAAGCAGGAGCCAGTGCCGTGCGTTTCTTGACTGTGTTTGCGCGTACGTGTGGTTTCGTTTAATTGCTAATATCTCAGAAATGGAGCTTCCGATTACAAAATGGTAAAGTACTTTTCGATTTGTATTTGCACGAGGTATAACCATGCTACAGATTGTCCCATCTTTTTGGGACACTCTTTATATCAATGATATAAATACTATAAAAAACATTTAGGGCTTATGAACGTACACTGTTAATATTTTTAATAATTCTGATATTTGAAACTTCATTATTATTGCATTTGTGTCAGGTAGTTCTGGTATTTTATATTCCATACGAATTTCACCTGTACTTTTTGGATGCTCTTCTCCAATAGCTGGAGTAATTACAATTGGAACCAGCCATATCAAATCATCCTCCTGAACAGGGAGTGCCATAACCAAGCAATCAAACATATAACTCAACACATTGTGAACAATTACCATACTGCTTCGGCTGCCACGGCATAATAGAAGTGGTAATCTTATAGAATTTGGAGTAACTAATTCATTGCTAGCTGTTCTCCAAGATAATAACATTCCTGTATAAATACATTTTTCTGTAGTATCTTCTTCACTATACTTTTTTGCATATACTGTAATCTGGAATTATTTATTTGATACAGATAAAATATCATTACTGAGTGTATCTTAAAAACTATAATAATTATCTCTAAACTATAATAACACACATATGTCTTTTCTCATTATTAATAAAACCTTTATTGGTGGTGGATCCGTTGGACTAGGTCTTACTGTTACATCATTCATAACAAACATTTTTGCTGTATAAGCAACATCCTCTTGTGCTATATTTGTTGCCACTTCTTCCCTTATTCGTTTTGAGTACTGCTTCAAATGTACTTCATCATGGTGGAAATTAAATAATGTAGATACTCCAAAAATGGTCCATGTTTTACGTAATAATTCTGATAAATATAAACAAATAATTAACTAATTCGTGATTTATATTTTTTTTTTGTGATTCATTCACAATATTGAATTCAATACAATATTGATTTATTTCTATTTGTACAATATAATAATTTAACCAAAATACCTGTTAATGTTTCAATAGGTTCCTCTTCCTCTTCTACTGGTACAGAACTAATACCTAAACTAAAGCGTTTTCTTCCTCGCGTTCGAGGTATCCGAGTTGTGTAAATAGTACGACTAGTACTCGGCAATATAATTTGCTCACTGTTTTCCATTCTGTCATAAAATATTAGAAAATAAATATTTCATTCAAAGCTATGTACTGTTTACTAATTCGAAATATTTTAAAGTAAACGTCAATTGAAAACATGTAGGAAACCTAACAACGTGAATGTAAAGTTCATTGCGCATTCTAGGGAAATTTTGTGTTAACTCCATGTAAACACACCATAGTGTTGTATGCACAAAAATGTGACAAGTGACATGTATGTGTTTCGTCAATGAAAGAAATCGAACTTCAGTGTGTCGGGAGATGTCCCGCGCAAAAACGTTGATAGTTTAACGTTGGACAAGTTTATTTTTTTCAGTAGTAAATAATATTTTAACATCTGAATGTTCACTGTTAAAGAGTTATGGGTTCAATAACAGTCACATTCCCACTTGGTGGACAACCAGGAAAAATAATAAAATGGAGGGTTCGAATGGATACGATGGTTTCAGCGGGCCGAGTATTGTTTTTATATCAAAACATAGCTCCTGGAACAGAAGATATCAAGGGTCCTGAGAAAAAATATAGGGCCACGCGATTTGGCCGCGTTACAGAGCTTCTAGCAAAAGAAGGAGATATTGTTCAACCTGGGTATACAATCTTCTTAACCTTACTCTTGGTGGCAGACATAAAGTGTGCTTATAAAATCGGCCGGGAGTCAAAATATTCATGTTTCTGATCCTGGGTCAAAAGAATTGACAGAAAGGGGATAGGATTGTATTTCGGAAACCGTAATTATATCGAATACCACCTATTTTTCAAGTATCTGCTTTACATGTCTAGTAAAAACATTAGTATTAAAAATGGGGTTTTTAGCCTCTCGCGAGAAGAGATGGTCTACGAGATGGTAACGACTCTTCGTATGATCTACTTCAAATTTGATCCATTTTGATAACTTATATTATGATATAACAATATTATATAGATCGCAGAAAAATATCGGAGTATTACAAATGCTAATTAAAATTTATAGTTTTACTTGTAATCAAAGAGATTATTTTTTTGAGGCACTAAAATATGTACACTTTCCTACATCTTCCTGTATTAATAGGACCCAATTGGCAAGAATATTGTTTTATGACCACATTATATTGCTTTTGCCTAGAGTATTTTTGTAAGAATCGTTAACCTTAGAAAGACTATGGAAAGACTAATTTTAACAATATTGTTCATAATCAATTGTCTTTTAGATTAATGCTTAAAAATTAGTTTTAGTTTTGTTTCAATGAAATTATTAAAAACAATTAAGTTCAGTCCTTGTAAGGTTAATTTGAAAACATGTAGATCTTTAATTAAAATTTTTTTAATATTTAATAATGAAAGAGAACTTAATAGTATAATTTCTTATTAAGAAAAAATAACTTATTACAAAATATCTTTTCTAAACAACATTATCTGCATTAATTTATATAGATTGGTAACTTGTTTCCAAAGTTGCATAAGTGATTAGTATTTCAGGCAAGTGATAATGATATTAGAAGGATGTCGGCATCCTACTGTAATGAAGGATTTATGTGCTGAATGTGGTGTAGATTTAAGGGTTGAAGGAGTTGGTAAACAGAGCAAGAATGTAGAAATATCCCAAGCCAGTGTGCCAATGGTACATAGTGTACCAGAACTAAAAGTGTGCCCAGAATTGGCTGAAAAAATTGGGAAAGAAGATGAACAACGTCTTTTAAATGATCGCAAGTTAGCATTACTTGTTGATCTTGACCAAACAATTGTTCATACAACAAATGATAACGTACCTCCAAATATGAAGGTACGTGTACATATGTGCACTATAATAAAAATAATTGAAATAGCAGTATATAATACACATTTTATAGGATGTTTATCATTATCAATTATACGGACCAAGTTCCCCATGGTATCACACCCGCTTAAGGCCTCATACAAGACATTTTCTTTCTGAAATGAGTCGTTTATATGAACTACATATATGTACATTTGGGGCAAGAAATTATGCACATACTGTAGCAGGATTGTTAGATAATGATGGAACTTTATTTTCTCATAGAATACTATCAAGAGATGAATGTTTTGATCCTGCATCGAAAACAGCTAATCTCAAGTATGTTTATAAAACTGTTTTATCAAATAATTAAATATTTTACCAAGTGATTGCAGAATTGTATTATTCTAGAGCCTTGTTTCCCTGTGGAGATGACTTAGTATGTATTATAGATGATAGGGAGGATGTTTGGCAAGGGTGTGGTAATTTGGTCCAAGTCAAACCCTATCATTTTTTTCGACATACTGGTGATATACATGCACCACCAGGTTTAGAAAAAAATGATGTACCAACTTTACCTGAATTACAAAATACAAATGATCTTTGTATGGAAGGAAATCAAAATGAGACTGACAAAAATGGTGCATTAGAATTACAGAAAGAAAGGATTACAGTAGATAATAGTTCTGAAAAAGAGACACAGGAAACGATTGAAGATAAGGAAAATATATGTGAATCTAAAGAAAAAAACAATGAAAACACCAAAGATGATACTAAGGACAACATCGATCAAAATCCGAATTCTACTAATGAAAACAAAGATATTAAAGTGTCAGAAGAGAAGGACGAAAATAAAGATAATGAAACAGTAGAAAATAAAAATGAAAGCAATAAGACATCAGAAGAAAATGATGAAAACGAAGATAAGCAAAAAGAAGAAAAAGAATGCATAGCAGCACTGACAGAGGCAACACAAGATATTAAAAAAGATGATATAAAGTACACTGAAAATAATGTTGTAGATGAAGATGATGATGATTATTTATTATATTTGGAAGATATTCTTCGAAGGATTCATGCTGAGTTTTATACAAATTTTGATATAGAAAATGGACGCAAATCGTTGAGGGATATTATTCCACGAGTACGAGCACAAGTATTGAAAGGAGTACATTTAACTTTCAGTGGACTAATACCTACTAATCAAAAACTTCATCAAAGTCGTGCATATAAAGTTGCTAGAGCATTTGGGGCAGAAGTAGCACAAGTAACTGAACAACTTTTATCTTCGTATGAATATACATTATTTTAGTTTATTTTAATGAATTATTATTTATTAGGATTTATCAGATAAAACTACACATTTAGTAGCTATTAGACCTGGCACTGCTAAAGTTAATGCAGCTAAGAAAAATGGCACTATTAAAATTGTAAATCCAGATTGGCTTTGGACTTGTGCAGAACGTTGGGAACACGTTGATGAACGTTTATTTCCACTGACTATAAAGGTATAGGTACTGCAGAAGTAATGCAATTATTATGATAATACCAGGAAAATAATAATTTAGAGAATATGTTCTTACTTAAGCAAGTAATCATACATTTCCAGGCACGTGCTTCTAGGATACCACCCCCACATTGTAGCAGTCCCGAGCGTATAGAAGAAGACGAACAGAGGATAGAAAATAGTTTTGCTGATAGTATTAATCCACTAATGTCATTTACACCGGAAGAAATAGAAATTATGGATAAAGAAGTTGAAGAAGATATGGATGATCAAGAAATGGAACCACCTGTTTTTGATGTGGAGTATGCATATGATGAAGGGTGTGATAAAGAAGCTGAGCAAGGAGGTTCTGATTCCGAAGATTCTATGCACAACGAACGTACGAATAATTTATATTTTTTACTGTATCTAACATAGAATACAAAGTAATAATTGTATAATTGTTCAACAGGTGTTATAAATGAACCACTAAAGAAAAAAAAGAAAATTTCTCACGATAGTACTGAAGATGATGATTCATCAAGTGGTAAGGAAGATACTCAGGATGACGATGATGACGACGATGATCCTGTAACCCGTTTTAGAAGAGGCGAAAACTTACCCGATGATTTAGATCTAGGTGATAATTCTCAAGATTCAGTTGAAGATCTTGAAATAATGGACAACGAAGATGATCGAGAGTGGAATGCAATGGGAGCCGCTCTTGAAAGAGAATTTCTTTCTGAATGATTCATTATGAAGTCATTTGTTTCTTCATAAACCAATCCATAAATATTATTTGTAAATTTGAAACTGATAACTTTTAATAATAGCAGTTACTGAGTATATTTAAAACAATTAACATACTTGTAGAATTTTTCAATTGAGTAATTTACTGCGATTTTACTGAAAATGTAAAGAACTATGTATGCAAAGTTTCATAAGAAAGGAATATAAAGGAAGTGTTTGTATTTAATTAATGAATTTTAAAATATATGCACATAACACTGTATGTAGGATTACTAATGTATTTTCCATAAATTATTAATTTTACATCATTCCCTTATTATTCTTTGCTAAGAACTAATTGGTACGAATACAATCATGAAGTTATGTAAAATTAATTTATTTTAGAATGAAGGAAATACTTCTAATTCCAAGACATACCTTTTTTCTGTGCAAACATTAGAAATAATTTTTTATTACATATATTACAATATACTAAGAGGATTATAATAAATTATAATATTTATCTTTCTTAATGTATGACTTTTATATATTTAACACAAACTTGAATGCACTAAGAAGGATCTACAGCATATGGATCTGAATTCTTTGAATCATCATTATATTTGACGTAAGTCTTTTTGTTTGAAAAGTCTCTTACACCTTCTGTTGATCCTCTTGGTGTTGCTTCGTCATAATCAAATGCATTCTTTAATTTTCCAAATAATTCAGCATCTTCATTTATTGTATCCCTACATTTGTGCAGGCATTCAATTATATTTCAATATTCTGAGCACAAATTATATTACAAATTACTGAAATATTTATATTAAAAAACTGCACATACCTGTATTTTCCTACAACACATTTTTTACCACTTATAGGATCTTTAATATCACCTAATGGGTAAATGACATCAATAACCTACAAATATTATTAAACTAAAGTACAAACATGAAAATAAAGTTTTCAATTACTAACAAATGAACATTAACAAATTGATATATTTAATGTACGAAACATACCTTATGAGAGATGAGACGCGTTATCTTCTCTGGTAAATTTTGTATCAACACTGTATCACCGGTTTTACAACGTTTTTCAGAATCAAGGGCGTAAACAAATTCGTATGATGGGAAATGCTGTAACGTGCGGAGATATCACACAACCTCAAATATATCTTCGTGAAAGGATAATTAATGTTTACGTACCATTTTAAGGTGATTATCAAATTCTAATCGACGTATACGTATTTTAGCAGCATTTTGTTTAGATGTTGGTACACTCACTCCCAACAAATAAGTCAGGGTTTGTTTAACTAATTTTTTCTGTGCCATCTGCAGTACACTGAGTACACTTAATCTGAATTTAGATAATTAAAAAAATTTTCCACCCCACTACCAACTGCTACCAATTACCACAGACGAGGTATAGAATAGATCTAACATGTAATGTAATTTTCTGTTACATGCTTCCGAGACTCCAAACTGCTTCAAAGCTCCCTTACCATTTTAGTGACAATACCCGACGTTACCGATAAAGCATGAATTCTGAGTATTATTAGTACAAATGGAGCATTATATATTCCATTCATAATACGTGTATCCAATATGATTGGTGGAAATAAAAAAATCCGATGCTTCGGTTTAAAGGAAAGTAATTCCTATTTTAAGAAGTAGGAGCATAGTAGAAGGTCCTTCCCCTATGTCACTTTTTCTCCTAGTGAAAGCCGGGGAACCAACAATGTCATGTATGACGTCATAGCTTACGTAACATGTATGCAAAATTATTTCATTGTTATTGAGATATCTGACCATTGAATATTATAAAACAGATCAGGAGCAATTTTTTGGTACCATGATTTGGTTGTAAAAAGACCATTTCCTATCTATTTTGCAGATAACACATTTTTGCTTTATTTGCGAATATCTCATTAAATATAAACGGTGCGATGGAAGCAATTTCAGATTCGGAAAGAGCAAATCGGGAGCAATTTTTTGAGATATAAATCGTTACCGTGTGGCGAGATCGTGGGGTCATAGAACCCCCGGGGGAGGTGTCAGACACCCCGTGTGGTGAGAGCGTGGGATCACAGAACCCCCGCAGATGGCTATATAGAATATAGTATATATTGTGAAGAAATTAAACGCCAGCATATGTATTAGGTTTTAACATTCATCAGGCAGGAATTAAAATCGAAATTACTGGTTGTCACGTCTTTTCTCATTTTTTTTATTGACTGTTTAATCGTTTTGCTTCACTCAAATTTTGACCAGAAAGGGTCTACGTAAATAAACTAGAATACTTGTAGTGATAATGAGTAGGTATACACATTTAAGTATAAAGTGTTTGACACGTTCAAGACACGAAGTTTCACGATGAGATTTTTTTTGTTTATCGAACCAGTAACGTTAAATCTCAGCGAGAAGTTGCAGCAACCTTTTCTTCGCGTACAAAAGAAGAAGAAAATGCAGCAGAAAATCTCTGATTTTTTTCACGATCGGTATTCAAATGATCTTGAAGGAGCATGATGTTGCCATCTCGTGATAAGAATGTCGTACTATTTAGGTACTAGCTTGGGCGTTTTGGCGTAGATGGCCCCAACGATCTAGTTGATCATATACACATTGAAAATTGATCAACGATACCTAATGTATATGAAAAGTAAATTTAGATTGCTGTTCATGAAAATGTAAATCAACATTTTATAAGAAGCTTTCATTCCACACGGAATGACAGTCATTTTTAATGTTGATAATGATCCAATATAAATGAAAGAATTCTCATTTTTCCTTAAAGTTTATGGAACTCGTAAGTCCGTTTCTTATAAATCCTGTTAATTCCTTTATTTTTCGAAGATTTGATTCCATAACATTCCTAAATTCAGAGAAGCAGTCATTCTATATTTAATTAATACAGTTCCATTTAATTATTATTTTGGTATTAATCTCTTATGAAGATAGAAATTTTATAAGTGTTAATGAAGTAGTTGTATGTACGTCGTGAGAAGTACCTACTAGATGAATTCTCTATCATCAGCTACAGCATCGGGGAATACTCGGGGGATGAAGGAGCTTTAATAATAATTAATCTTCAACTACTAACAGCGCAACTCTAGTTTTCGATAATGGGGAACTCAATTACGAGCTTCCTTAATTAATAACATCATAGACAAGGAATGAAATCCGAATAAGTAACTGGAGTTAATCAGTAAATCAACTTGTTGTGTCGCTCTTTGTCATGTTATTTTCTTGAACTGCACCATTCTGACTCTACTCTGGAATTTGTCCTAAAATATTCATGCACCTGGAACATTTTCGCGGATACAAAAATACACCTACCTATCTGCTGCGCGTATACCTGTGCACGGTTTCTTCTTTTTCGAAGTCAAAGAAAATTCGTGTCACCATTTCTCACGTTGAGGCGACAGAAATGAAAGACACAAAAATGGAAACGAAGTTGCGCAGATTACAGAAAAAATTGCTCGGATAAAAGGGAAAAGCTGACGACACAGAAAACGAGTGAGCAAACCTTTGTATCTATAAAATACAACGGTTCTTTCTATTAACATTGGCAATCGCATTAGGAGATATATCAAAAGACGATCACAGTGAGAAAAGATCTCTACTAACTATTCGATCATCCTATCTTGATCCTTTTTCATGGATCGTTGTGCCTGAGGAAAAGATTTTCTTATAGGAAAATATACTTTTTCAAATCATATGAATTTTCTCATTACAATTTTCTTCTGGTAGAAATCAGAATGCTTTAGTTGCGAGGATTATCCTGTACAAGCCTTTGGCATCTGCGAGTTGCGTTGTTATTACGGGATGTAAAGGAGCAGGGGAATTCACGGGTGATCGCACGTCAGCGGCCGGGTCGCCAGTCAGCCAGGAAATTCTATTGTCGACGAAAATATCGAGACAGCGATGGTTCGGTTGTAGCTGTTGCCTCTGATACAATGCGTCTTGTTCCTATAAGTCTGCTTTTCCCACCGAGCCAACAGTTTGTCGTGTGAATAGCCCGATGGGCGTAAAAAAGGGAATGGTTCGATCCAATTAAGCAAACAAAAATTGCCGTACGCGTACCTTCGGTATGGGTAAAACACGTTTCGCGGTTCTGAAATTTAGGCGACGTGTACACGCCGGTGAATATTTATAATGAAATTAACAATGTTATCGGTTTGCACACTTAGCGGGACGTCCTGTGTAATCACGATGCAAGTTTTTGATTCGACCCTCTGTCCCATCAATTCCCGGGGCTTTTTTTTTTTTCAGCGTGCTCGTATCTGCATTTACATATAAATATGATCGCGTAGCTTCCGCGATCCCATCGGTCGCAACATTGCGAGCTACGTGTACGAACAAAATGCATAAATTAAACTCGTACCGCTGTGCGCCGCCATCTGTACAGACGGGGTGTGCATTAGGTGTGTGGGTATCAGACGGAATTTGTTCGTTTCAAATGAACAGTTCATTCTTTATTACCATATATTTCTACCGGCGAATTCGAAATAATTGTCAAGCAATAGCTTATCTATTATTTAAAGAAAATTTAAAATTCATTTTTGAGTGTAAAATACAGATATCACTGTTGGATAGCCAACCTTATAACTGAGGAGCAAAGGTAGTGAGATAACGATTTCATGCAGTCGCTTAATTGGTTAACACGCATAAGGAGAAATCGGCAATCGTAAAGGTTAGATTTTGAATATCAACATTGTATATTTGAACGTGACTTTAGAAAGATTATGACGTTGGAAAACATTGAAATCCCTTGAGAAATTAATGGGGTTTCATGGCAATGGTCCCCCAGGTAATACTATGCGTGTTTTCTTCCCGTGATTTTTCACGCGTGCAGATCCACGTGTAAACAGATCGTAAGAGGCATTTCCGGAAAGCGCAGCTGTTCACAAAGGGTGGGCAACAGTATATTTACACATGTAATCGTTCTTTGATTTATGGTCGTTGCATAGGGTGGCAGGGGTCTTTGACGCTCCACTTTCGAACCCTGGCATCACCGTTCTATTGCGAATTAATCATCGGTGGTAGTAGAGGCAGGCTACTTCATACTTCTTTATACATTTAATTTTAATTACCGCCAGTAATTACATTCACATCGCAGTTTAAACGTCTAAAAGCTCTTTAATCCGTCAGCAATGGAGGACTTTCATTATCCTGTTTAATTGGATAGAGGAAATTCGGGGAGTTTGAAAAGTTGAGTGAGTCACCTAATATACATAATATTCAATCAATTAACTATATAATTATACGTCAAGAAAGAATTACAATATTTATTTACAGAGACCCAGTTATTGTGAGTTTAACTTTCAGTATTTAATTCATACATTAGAATGAAGGTATAATACAAGATGAGGCATATCCTCTATTTGCGTAACGTAACAAAATATGACTAAGATAATAATGTTTATTTTCCTTTTCTCTAATTTCCAAGGTGAAAATCATAAATTTAAATAGGAGTCACGTGTATGGAAATGGCAATACTGTACACATGTAACGCGGACTTCGAGCGGCGTTTCCTAGAAAAGCATTACCGACAAGATTCCATAGAATGCCGATGATCTTCATGGGATTTAATGGTGTTGACGCACGTGAAACAAAATGTCACGGGACATTACACTCCCTTCCGGTTCATCTGGCCGATAGCTCTGTCCATGCATGACCCGCTGTCTCTTTTCGCTTTTCCCCTCTCCTCTTGTCTGGGCCCCTTCTGAACATGGTCGCGAGCCTTTGAAAACTATTTTCATTGTGCGTAATAGCTTTTTGATGCCTGGTTACTCAATGCGACAGAGCACGCCGAGCGCATCGTTTGGTTATTGCGGAGCATTGATTTCTAAAAGGTCGACTACGTTCGCCTGATACGCAGCGTCCGTATATAACATCAACCGGAAACTCATCCTCAATGGTTATCCATTTTCCAGATTGCAAGACAAAATAAAGTAAACACGTATCGAGCGAAGCACACTCGATCCCGCTCTACACCATTCGTCGATAATGCGCGCGAAGCATTTACCACGGGAAAGTTCCGCGCGGTCTTCGACCTTTCCGAACGACAGGGAAACCTACCACCAGACCAGGGAAACTCTTGAAATGATATTTTTTTCCTGTGGAATACAGTTTCTCCTAGTGCAAAAAATTCTTTTCCAACAGATATTACGGTTTGGTATGGTTATAACTTTTGTTCTATTTGCATATTATTGTAGAATGTACAATAAAACAATGTATCAACATTAGGCGAAAATGTTTCTGCTTCAATTCGACTTTCTGTTACATTTTAATTACTTGTATAATCTTAATTACAGTTCATATTTCGCCATCACTGTTCAAATAGTATCGA